GACCTGTGTTGTTTAACATCTTTGTCGGTGCATGGACAATGGGATTGAATGCGCCCTCAGCAAGTTTGCCGACGACACCAAGCTGTGTGGCTCAGTTGATACGCTGGAGGGAAGGGATGTCATCCAGAGGGACCTGGACATGCTTGTGAGGTGGGCCAATGCCAACCTCATGAAGTTTAACCAATGGTGAGGCACTGGAATAGGTTGCCCAAGGAAGTTGTGAATGCTCCAACCCTGGAGGTGTTCAAGGCCAGGCTGGACAGAGCCTTGGGTGATATAGTTTAGTGTGTGGTGTCCCTGCTCCTGGCAGGGGGGTTGGAACTAGATGATCTTAAGGTCCTTTCCAACCCTAACTATTCTATGATTCTATGATATCAGTCTTAATTGTACACAAGCAACAAAGAATCAGTGGGCAAGAATTAGGGGAAACCAGGAGAAATTCCAGTGCATCTTAAGGCCCAGATCTGTTATGTGCCACTGCCTGTGCTTTGGCACCGGAGTGCAATCCTCCAGAGTTTCTTCCAATGCTGTCACAAATTCTCCCTTTATTCCCACAGTTTTTAACTGGAAACCCCCTCATGCTCGTGAAGCCCACAGTAATTTTGCCTCGCACATGGCCCTAACTATGACAGATACTACTGTCATCTCTGTCAGGTTCAAGTTACAAGTTATAGGAGCCTGGGATCGTGTTATTTCTTAACTATCATTAGTTACATGTTCATCTGCAGTGCTTTTGGACAGCACTGCCAGCAGTGAAAGAAATCAAGCTGGCTTAATTGAGAGCCACATACTTAATTATTAGTGGCTTTTTTTTTTAATGGAGGAGAGAGAAAATTTGCAGTGTCAGTTTTTAATTTCATTGTGGTTTTTCAAGGTAATGTGACTTTAAACTTACTGGTGATTATCTGTATATATGTAGCATTTACTTTATCTTTCCAGCCCTAAGCCCTTTTCTGCTGTAGAAATGTCAAGAGATTTAAGAAGGCAAGTGCATCTGGACATTACTGATCACTTCAGCCAGTATAAGCGATAAATAAAAACACTGGTTCCTGTTAGTACAATAGCTGTGACGTGGTTTGGAAGGAGCAATTGCTGTCTCACCTCTTTCATTACCCAGTTTGGTACGTCGTGCTCAGATATTGCGTGCAAGTCCCTGGCAGGCTGGGTAGTACATGTATTGGAAGCGGGCAGATGAGCTCATGGTATAGGCAAGTTGTCAAGGGTGGCTGGAAAGAAACCAGTTTGTATCTGCGTTGAGGCAGAGTTAACGTTTTTGGGAAGAAGCATTCCTCATACCCTGAGCAGATTCCCCTTGGGATGTTCAGTGGTGATGAATGGTGGAGTCTTGGTGCTATCTTTCTTGGCTTTGCAGAGTAGGGGCACACATTAAATCCTGAGAGGATAGCTGAGACTTTTCCTGTACATTTTTCATAAACTTGTTCTACATATTGAGGACTGTGATGGAATAAGCTTGGCTCAACATTCATAAGTTGAATATTGAGTTACTTATTTCTGGGTGAAAGAGATAAAAACTACTTGGACGAAGTAACCTGTATATGGATTAAAAGCCAGAGAAGTTTTTGCCTGAGCATTTTTGGGAAAGCCTTTATTGCTAAGTTTCCCAATGACCATATGTGTCTACTCAATCAATATGATTAATCTTTGGTAGAAATGCATTGGTTGTGCAAAGAAGGTGAACTTAATCCAAGAAAACTTTTTTACAATTTCTGCCTCTAGAAAGATGAAATGTGTTTTCTCAAGTGTTGTTTCTGACTTGAGGGGAAAAAAAGCAACAACCAAAAAGTGGTGTGGGAAGAGATGAAAGAATATAGATTAAATAATTTCTGTAGTTTATGATACTGGCTGAATGACCACCGTCCCTCAATATCAAAGAAGATAGACTAGTTTTGAGTATATGTTTGTTTTATAGAAATAACTCTTGCATGTACTAGCAGATGATCTGAAATTGATTTTTTAAGTGGTGTGGAAATAACTGATGGACAGTAAGGTTCTTTGCCCATCTTAAAAAAAATTATTCAGTATTGCACTGTGAACACTGAAGGCCTTTCCTGTCAGGAAAGAACTTTGTCACATTTAACTCTGTTATTTGGAGAAAGCCTATTTGCCTAGACTGGTATTCCTAAACTACTAGGGATAGTTTTCAAAGCCAATTTCCTTTCCATGGGTTTTGTTGTTGTTGTTGTATGGTTTTTTGTTTGGGGTTTTGGTCTTTTTGGTGAGGTTTGGTGGGTTTTTTTGGTTTGTTTTTTTTGTTGTTTGTGTATTGGTTTGGTGGGTTGTTTCTTTTATTTAAAAAAAGAAAAAGGTCTGTGACACCTGTAAACCCAAATCTTGTAACTTTGGGCTGGTACAGGAGAGAGAGCTGAAAGGTGTGGAGCTGGTTGGCTCAGACTGGGCAGAATGTAAAAGTAAATGTATTATGGGGAAACAGTAAATTGATTTAAAACAAAAGTGACCTAAGGAAGGAAGACAAATGTAAACATGGTTCATTTTTTAAAAAATTAACATCCTTCTAGGTAGAATTCTGATGAGGCAGCAATGCTTTCTGGTGTAATCAGCAATGTGTTGCAGCTACTGAGAGACTGCTAGAGGTTGTGATGGCTTTCCCTTGGCTTCTGATTTTGTTCACCCTGGGCGTGCTAATTTCTCATCACAGAAACCCAATGAACTGTTCCACTAGCAAAAGCACGTTTCAATTAATTGACTGGCTTTATAACGAATTACTGCTGTGAACTGCAAACCAGTTTTGACTGCTTATCTGAAGACCAAGATACTAGGTGCTATAGAAGAATTAGGGTTTCTGGTACCTTGCACCCTTCAATAGGGTCAGGCTTTCAGACAGCAGGCCACTTCCTCCTATGTGGAAGTGTGGCATCAATGTTAAGTCAGCCAATTGAAGATCCCAAGCTACAGGATGTTTTTTGAAAAGGTAGGGCCGAGGCTCTGTATCGATCAATCATTATTCTAATTGTTCATTTCTATTATGGTGGGAATCATTCAGAATCCTAGAGTTCCTGAGAGTAAATCATTTGGAAATGCTGCCCATTATAAAATTTAATTTTAAATCTATATTAAATAGATTTATAAAGGCAAGGTTTGCAATCTAGTAACATGACATTATGCTATCTCACAGATGCTCAGCTTTTGGGCCCTAAGGGGCCACAGCTGGGAGTGCTGCAGAGGCAAAGCTTTGGCTTGTTGTGAGCAGGACAGCACAGCTGCCAAGCTTACCTTTCAGGTGACCCTTCTGGGCCACCTTCAGAGGAGCATTGATCTGCTTTGCTGAGACATCCATCCACCTGTTCTTGATGGACTGAGGTTGTGAGGATCTGTCTGCCATGAAGATGAGCCTTCCAGAGGGCTGGTCCTGTCTTTGGGGCAGGAGAAGGGGTGGGAGATGGTAGGGGGGTGGCACAGGCTGGAGTGGGCTGGGAGACAGGATGCTGGACCACTCTTTCTTTTTCTTTCAGATGACAGAGAAGAGGGGAAAGGAAAACAAAACTGCATTTGGAGGCCCAGTTGTCAGCTCATTGTACCAAGAAGAAACAATCAGGTGATTATCTGCACTGGATGCACTGGACTTCAGTTAAAACTGGTGTTTTTCTATTTTTCTAATTTAATTTTGTTAAGCTTTTTTTTTTTTTTGCTTTTTGCTTTTTTTTTTTTTTTTTTTTTTTTTTTTTTTTTTTAATATTGCCCAACTGTGGTGGCAACTACAACAGGATAATAAATGACAGGAAAGAACTTTTCAGGTCCATAATCATTTAAATCAATAACTGCCTGTATCATTGCCAGGTAGTAACCTTTCCCTAGCACAAGATGTGGAGGAAGGGCAAGGCTTCCCATTTTTCAGTTATATGGCTCAAAAAGGTAATATTGGATATTTTTAATAGAAAGCTATTTAGACACTATCTTTTTCAAATAGTTATTTCTTTACCAATACATTCATTAAGCATTGTTCAGTGAAGATTTTAATGTTGGACAATGTTTGCCTTCAGGGAGAGTTTGTACCTTATATCAAATTAATTTTTTCTAGCTTCTGCAGCTAACATAGCAGAAATGCATTTACTGAACTAGAATGGCTGCTATTTAAAAACTGTCAAGGTGCAAGTAATAAGTGACATTAGCTACTGAATAAGGACAGCTGGGTTTTTTGTTTGGTTGGGTTTTTACTGTTCCAGACTACTAATCATGGATATAATATTAACTCCAATACCTAAATGATTGCCTGGAGAGGATCTTTCAGAATAGTGTTTTTAGTTAAAATGAACAGTCAGGGAAAAGTAAATTTTTGAGCAGTGTTTGCTGTCGTGTTGCAGTCACCCATTTATGTGTATGTGATCCCATTTGTTTTATTGAATGTCTTGCCTCATTTTAGTCACAGAAAATTAAAAGATAAACACTGATTTCTCTACATACAGCCTCCCAAGCTTGTTAGATTTTTCCCCAAAGTGTTAAATCTCTAACACAGCAGTTCTTTGACTTGTTGTCACAAACTAATGAAAAGTAAATCTTGAGAAGGTGGCTCCAAACCCTTTGCAAGGAGCTCAGGTAGAAATTGATATGGCTGTTGCATGTAAGCAAATAGGGTGGCAGTTTTGTGCTCAGCAGTAGCATGGGCACTTCCCTTGGTCCACTTTCTAGTGAGATAGAACGGTTGGCCAGGAGTAACCTTCTCTGCTTTGCATGGAGAGCCAACGCGTTTTTTGACTTGCCCCTGGACCTTGACCAGAGGTACTCAGGTAGGACCTTGGTTTAACACACTGTGTGAGGAATAGCACTTCTGCTAGCCACAAGCTCCTTTTTCTTCCCTGCTCTGTCAGTGTATATCTCAGCCAGCATCCTTGTTGGCAGTTTAACCTTGTGGTTTAAATCCTGTTTGAGCTCTTCTTTTAGGAGTGGAACATATTGACGTTGCCCAGTGTTGGGTGTGAAGTATGAGCTATGCTTAGTCCTACAGTGCTTTCAGAGTCTTGGCTGTCCCACGTACTGCCTTGTACTTGTACTGGCCCTTTCTTGGATATGAAATACAGCACAATATACTGCAAAGCAGAGTTTTCTCTGATTGGCTTGACTAGTCTAAATCTTGTCAAATTTTTGGTTTTATTTCCATGAGAACATGACTTGTGCAGGCCTTGAAAATAAGTACATCTCCAAATACTTTTTTTTTTTCCCCCAAACATACTATGAGAACATATGTGCTGTGTGTTCAGTATAGCAGAGCTGCAGTCTTTGCAAAATGAGGCTGTAGGCAGTAGTAGTCTCTGACACGGATGGAATAGGGTGATTCTGGTGAAAGTGAATTAAATGAAGTCTCCTGACTGCTGTCAGAATGGAAACTCATGTGGTCTATTAGTACAGCTTGGTTCATGGGCAACAGTGCCTTCACAGTTGCAAGATAGGAAGTGAACAAGTGTTGTCATCATTTCACCCATGTGCAGGTTGTACAGCTTTGACTTTCTCAGTACAGTTGCCAATGTATTATGGCTTTTGTCTACTGTTCATTCTCTTACTGGAACAGGAAATAAATGTGTGCAACCACATCTCTAATGATGATAATTATAATAGTAAAAGCATAGTCCTAACAGCAAAATCACCCTGGTACCAAATCTGCAAGCAGATGAGCCAAAGGAGGGTGACTTCAGACATTGTTTGGCATCCAAGATTATCTAGAGCAGGGAGTGATTCAGTTTTATAGTAATACCGCTCACCTGAGAAGGGTGACTTTTCCTGAGGCTGTCAGTTGTTGCTTACAAGAACATCAAGTTAGCATTCAGTAGTACTTAAGTACATTCGTAAAAAAAAAAAAAAAAAAAAAAAAAAAAATGTAGTCTTCAGAATATGCCTTATTTCTTCTAGAGGAAAAAATGAAAATGTTTAAGGGGAAAGAAAACTTAATAGCTTGAGCCAGCACATACTTAAATACATTAATAGTTACAGATAAGTCCCATGCTGTAAGTTCAGTGTATATTGTGTATGCTACCTCAAAACCTAAGATCTGAGAAAAACTTGGAGACTATTTTATTGACTCAGTTGTCTGTTGGGCCTGCTGAAGCTTTACAACAAGCTTACAAAAATTGAAATGTAAGTCAAAGTACTTTAGTCTCTGTTTCCCAGGGCTGTTGAAAGGATAAATGTTTTCTAATTACAGGATGATATTAAGGAAGCCCAGAATAAGCAAAAAACCCCAACCCTGTACCTTATATGCTAAAAACTAAAAACTGGAGCCCTCATCAGCCCCAGGGTACTGACAGGCTGCTGAAAGCAGTTTCTCAGCAGGCATTACTCTGCCAAACACAGCCTACCATATATGCCCTTTAACATTCTGCTGATGCAAAGGCAGGAAAAAGCCGTCTAATTTATCTGGATCCTCAAAACCTCATCTTGCACCAGGAGATAAACAAGAGTGCAAGTGTGGGGTTTTGAAGGTTCACTTATTTTATTCTTGCCAGAAGCTTTTGAACAGTTTATCAAATTATTAACATCTTCTAATCTGCTGCTATGTAACAGAGAGATGAGAGATCTTGTTTTAAATAGTGTAAACCACTAGTTTACCCTCAGCAGCAAATAACCAAGCAAAGCAGCAATGCCATTGCTTTCAAACTGAGTGTCTGAAATTACGTATAAATAATGCTTACATTCCTTTTGTGGAATGAAATGCTTTGTGTTTAGGATGCAAATCTGTACATGTTGGATGAAGTGGAGTTAACCATACCCTACTCTGAAGTCAGGTGGATCAGAAGTAGGAGGAACTGGGATGGCGCCAGGGCTGATTTTGCCTTATCACTAATCTCAAATGTTTCTGCTTTGAAAACAAGATAGAAAAACGGTCAGTCTGGCTCACAGAAGTACAGCACTGTGATTTCAAATAATTGCACTGGTTCCAAATAAATTCAAGAACATCCATAGAAACAGGTTATACTGATCTAATTAAATCAATTTAGAAAGAGAACCGGTTAAATCAGTACAATCTGGGTGTTCAGACATCAATCTTCAAATCGGGAAGTCTCTTGAGCGAATGAGTCTGAGTTGTAGCAGTTATTTACTTTGGGGTGCTGGGCCCTAGTCATCAATTAGGGGTCATTAATAAACCCTGGCAATAAAGAGCTCAAGTACCCCCAGTGACTAATGGGGAGCAGTTGTGGAGTATTAGCATAGTGCTCTGCCTCTCTGTTTCTCTGCAAATCGCTTATCTCACTTCAGGCATTACACAAAAATAATGCGTGCTGGTGACTGATGATGGGAATTGGAGGTTCCTCTGGAAGGGAGAATTTAGAAATTATCTGCAATTTTGGGCTGGGTATAGTGGTGGGGTTTTTACTGCTGCATAAAGCTTTGTCTCTTTTCTGGTGTTATTACCAGAACAAAAGCAGTAGTAGTTGAGCTCTTTCATGATCAAATAGCTATAATTACTTTCACAAACCTGAGAAATGAGCAGTGAGATGAGGTTGACTGATGTGTCACCAATATAAATCTAATCTAAGACACAACTGAGGGAGGTGCCAAAAATACCATGGCATTGGAAATTCAACTTTATTTTGCAGTTTGTTTGTTTGTTTGTTTTTTTTTTTTTAAGTGGGGGCACGGGCAAGGCAGTTTGTGTCTCCAGCACATGAAAGCATTGACTTGGCAGATGGAGAATGCAAAATAATGTTGCAAAATGTCTGTCCCTTTCCACTGGAGGAGCCTTCCTGCACCCTGCCATGGGCTGCTCCCATGTGGCTTCGGCATGCTGGCTTGGGGATGACATCCGCTGCTTGGCATGGAGGTGCCCCTGAGCTATGCTGTATACTTCTGCCATCCCAAAGGATGCTGTAGAAACCCTTTTCTGGTAGAAAACTTCCACCCTTTTCTGTAACACTTAGGGGTGACCCCAGTTGCCAATGGGGCTCTGTTTAGGCTCAGGGTGTAGAGTGGGCACCCCTCATTCGTGAGCCCGTCTGATGCCATGTAATCTATCAGAATTGTATTAATCCCACTAACGCAGCCACCATCTGGCCCTGCTGCCGGGCCGGCTCGTGCAAGCCCCTGTGATGGATGGCCTTGGGAATTGATTAGTTGTTGTGCGAGACAAATGAACTGTTTTGGCAGAAAATACCAGAGGTCGCTGCGTGTGGTCAGGCACAAAGGCTGCTGAATTTTAAAGAGCTGCTTCCAACATCCATTGCAGGGATGCCACTTTGGAGTTGCGACAGCTTTTGAGACGAGCCCAGCACTCTGGAGCATGGTTTGGGTTTTGTTCTCTCCCTCTTGCCCTGCTTTCAGGAATGCCAGCACTGGAAATGAGCACAAAGCTGCAGTGGTGCAGGAGCCAGAATCCTTGCTGTGTTGGGAATTACAGGCTCGTGCTGTGTGTGTGTTTGGGTGGCCATGCTGCAGATGTCTGTTGTTCACATAGATGCTGGGCTGGCAATCCCTGCAGAAGAGCTTTCCTGGTTGTGCAGAACCCAAGCAGCCTGCAGTGTGCTCAGCCATGGCATATCTCAAACAAAACACCTGCGGGTCTGAGCAGCTGGGGTTTGGGTTTTTTCAGGTCAGTGTCATTTAGAAATGGATGCTCTTCTGGTGATGTTAAGTGGGCAAATCTCTGACTTCAAGATGATTGCCAAGTTTGTTGCTTCCGTCCCTTTTTATTGTCCCTGGAGAGATGACCCTTGGGGCTTTGCTTTGTTGTGCAAAGGGCCAGCTTGGCTGCTCAGGCTTGCCTTCCCTTTGGGAGAG